CATGGAGGTCTGGTGAGGAAACAGATAAATGTGTCCTCGTTCTTTTTTTTCCCAAGTCAAGTGCAGGGAGACAAATTCAGGTGATACTAATAGGAAACAGAACAGCTAGGAAGAGGGGGAGTTCAAGGAGAAAAGAATAAAAGGAGCAATGAAAGCATGAGGATGAGAGGACAGGAGGAATAGATAGAAGGGACACAATGAAAAACTTGCAGGTTAAAAAGAATTTTCCCTTTTTCCAACCGAGGCAGATTATTCCTCCCTCTTTCTTTTCTGACAATGACATGCTTCGTCTCTCAACCTGCTCTCCAGAATCAAATAGCTGTGACCATGCGTAACATGGCATTCACTATCAAACCCTGTTTGCTGCCTAAGCTGCAAGTGTATGCATAAACTCATTTACGTCAGCACACGAATACGAACTATTCTGTCTCTCAGAAGAGGTCAGTTAAAACACAAGGTGAGTCGAGTACTTGCTGCATACTGTACTTTGCTGATTATTCTCATATGAAAAAGATGGGGCATCACCAAGGACTTTCATTAGGATGCTACATCAAAGAATCAGTTACACAGAAAAGAAAGCTTTAGAAGCATAAAGCATAAAAAAACATTTTGCAGTTTGAGGCAACTTCAAAATCCAGCAAAAAAATTCTAAATATTCTCTTATATAGCCACAAACTGTAAGTTGTTTATCATCGTATAAAAAACAAAACAAAAAACTAGATAGCTATCAGTTTTGACAAATACAAATCGGACAAGTGCGGCAAACATCTGTATTCAGTATGGATATTGTGTGTAAATCTGTGAAAATCTGTTATTTGGTCTCGCATCCAACTTTCAACCAGATTCTGTTCTGGGCTCTGAATGGGCCATATGAATATGATTAATGTTTAAGTTTAGTTATATATCAACCTTTTATCAGACCAACTACTATGTATCCGCTGAGCAACCGTAACCTCAAAGTAATATTGCCACCTAGACCAAAAGAAAAAAAAACTGGATATGTTCCCCCACCCATGGCATTCATACAAACATATATAAAGACAAAACTTCTCTCTTAACCTGCCCTCGTCCCTTTGGGATGGGGGATAGGCGGCCCTTCCACTGAAGCTGTGCTCATGTGGTATCGTAATTATGGTTAATAAATAAAAAAAAACAGACTTGAAAATTGTAAATGACCACCCACTCATGTTGTAATTTCCAGTGGCCAGCTGAAAAATGTTTATGATACCCGAGTTACTGAGATGAAGTAAACTTGGACCTTTCAACATGGTGGAGAAAAGAGAAACAAGTCTGTATGGAGAAAACTGCATTGCTAAACGTTATCTCTCATTGTTGTTGTAGCCTACAAATTGCTGTGACATCATTTTTTTTTTTAAAGTAGCTGCATTTAAAGTTGCTTTTTTTTTTTTAATAATTGTCGATGTTTGATTTTATCAGATGCTGTCTAGCAGTCTGTCGAAGATAGCAGCCAGCAGGGTACTGTGCAAACCATGTTCTGATAAGGAGAATTTTCTCATTTGATCTTTTGTGTATGCCAGTGAGCACATGATTTACTGGAACCAGGACGTGACCCTATAACTGTCTTGCCCAAGTGGCAGGTCACGATAATCTATGTTTCACCATGTTCCTTTTCTCGACCGCAATTAGAGCACTTGAACACACGGCGCTGGTCATTTCCAAGTGGAAAGGATCAGGCTGTGATCTTCTGCACTAAGATGTTGGATGTTCTTTTCTTGCATCTGTTGGAGACACTTCTCAATGGTGGTAGTTACTGCCTTGAGTGCTACTGTGACTAGTGGTGATATAGTAACATGAACCTACCAGACTCTTTATAGTTCTTCCCTGCATCATTGATATTTGTCTAGTTTCTTGTGTTCTTTTTGCCTATGTTCCCATCATTTCGAATGGCAACATCTGTCACAAAGGCTGTCCTATGCAGCTTATCCGATGTTTCTGAACACTATACAAGCCACTTGGTTATGATGTTCCATGTATTCCTTTCCTGCTAGGATCTAACACCCTGTTATGAGATGCTGGATTTTTCCTCGGGCCTATTTGAATAGCCTGTACCCGGGTATATAGTATATAGATATATAGTCTATTGCTGTGGTTCTCAAAGCCTGCTCCTCTGCTGTCATGATTAGTGCTTGTATGCTGTTCAGCCCTTTGGTAGCAATTGGTAGGATTTGGTCACTTCATCTATCTTATGGTAGTACATGTCATGGAGGTTTTTTTTTTTTTCCTCCCATGAGGGGTCCTTCAGTTCCTTCTCTCCCATCTTAAATTGTCTGAGACATACAGTACACTGAGCACCTTGTTTCTCTGGGCCATCTTCCTGATACATTCTTAGAGCTTGGATGTTTGATCTTCAGTAGTGGCTCTGATGTTTACTAGGCCTCTGTCTCATTCTTAGCACGTACAGTATAGCCTTTGGATGCTAGATTTGGGGTGGAACCCACCATACATGATGGACAGCTCACATGTTACACATTAGTTGTCTAAATCTCCTCTTTTAACCAACTTATTACTCTAGCAGTGTTTCTGACTGCTGACAGTAGCTGTTGATTGCTGGTATTTGTCTGTTGCGGATTTCCTTGTGGTTGCCATTTGCCTCTGGTATGCCAAGGGGCTTAGTGATATTTACTCATTTATTGTCTGTCTGAAAGCTGCACAAAACAAATTTTTTTTGTATACACAGTGTATACAAAATGACAATAAAAGTTGTCTAAGTCTATCTAATACTCTCTATGTGTTTTACGTTCCCCCTCTTTTTCACCATTCTGACACTTTTTTAAAGACCAAATGAAATTCCAGTAACCCTGCTGTAGATCCTGGTGAAGTGGATAATGCCTCACACTCTCTCAAAATGGCCCCATTCCTGACTCTGTATCCAGAGCAAGTTGAATTGATTATGTGGTTAAGGGGACTCAGGCTATCTCCTTGGTATTCATACCAGATTTGAAGGAGATTCGTGCAGTTGGCTTGAATTGGTTTCATGGGTGGTTTTTCACAGCCACATGGAGTTTGCAATGAAGATTCAGTGTATTGGTGACCTTGTACAGCTTTGAGTGTTCAATGACCCATGTGTCATTTAGTAATAGGTTTTCTTATAATCAACCAAGGTAGTGCACAGGGTTTCTGTCTTGGTTTGCAGTCTCGGGCAAATGTTCTGTTAACCAGCAGCTGATGTCTGGTTCCTCTTGAGCATTTACCATAGCCTCTCCTGGCCTTCTTCTAGGACAACTGACCCAAATAAAATCTTATAGCAGATCACTTAGAAAAACAAATTGAGAAGTCATTTAAATACTTGTAAAGACAAGGCCACATTCACCCCCTCTAAATGAAATCCTATATCAAGGAACCAGAAATATGTCATGCCTGTTTTGTTGCTTGTCAACAACTTTTACCTTAGTTAGCTCTCATGTATAAAGGCAAGCTAAAACTGCTGTAAAGCTGCGTTTTAAGTAACATGACCCATTCAGCAACATATACGACATATTGAGTTTTTGAGAAGGAGGCCTCCATAGAGCATCAATATGTAATGTTAATTGACCTTAAAAAAACATTTATTATACATCATATTAGGCTTATAATCGGGTCAAAGGTTACGCAGTGTTGCTTCAGAATGTCACTGAGATAGACATGGCTGAAATAAACAGAAATTAGAGATTTCCAACTGGCCTGGACAATATATTTGAGAAAAGTGAATCAAGGTTTCTGGAATGTGTTCCTACTGGGCAAGTTGAAATTGTTTTGTCAAGTCTTCTAAAACAGGTGATGTTACATGCTTTCGAAAGATGTAGTGAAAATGAGGGTGGAATCAGGTGATGAGTCATTTGAGGTAAATGTTCACTATGTCAGAATATATTTGGCTAATGTATTAACCTCCCATTTAGCACATTAACCTTTTTTTTAAAGAAAAAGACACAACTTCAAAAAGACAGAGACATGTAAATCAACCTTTTCCAATATGATACTTTAAAAATATCTATATACAAAAGGAGTGATATTTAGTGACTACTTAAGGCAGCTGGGGGCACTAGATTTAATTTTGACCACTCAAAGTAAAGAATTTTGTGTGCATAATATATGGTGACAATATGTGGAAATAAAAGTTAAAATGATAAGAGTAGAGTGTTATTGAGGAATGTTTTTTTCAAATGTGTTTGAAATTTTAATTGAAAAACATAATATATGGGACATTTTTTCATGTTTTTACAAATGAGGAAATTATTTAGCAATCAGTTTCTTTCAGGCTGAGAAGACAAAGTTGTCATCGTTAGGCATAATTAAGGCCTCATGAATGCTGTGTTTACTGGCTTTTTACTGTCAAAAGAAAATTGTGTCATCGCCAATTAGAATGAATGTAAGCGCAGACAGACAATCAGATCAAAACAGGATTAGTAGCAGCAATGTCAAACACACCAACTTAGGTGATCTAAGAAACAAAGATAAAAGAGGAGGACTAGATGGCAAAAACATTCTGAAATAAGAACAAAAAGAGGCTGAAAAGCCTTGAGAAAATATAAAAACAGATACAATCACAGCAGCAGTAGTAGTAGACTGTTCAGGCAGAAAATCAAAGGTATGAATATAGTGAGTGACCCAAGCCTGGGTGCTTATTTCTGTTTACGTGTGTGTGTGAGTTTATGTGTGCCGTGGCTCTATTCCCAGGATAAGATACTTCCCTGCTGCCAAAGTTTCTCTGGGTCTACCCTCATGCCAGGGTCAGTGTAATGAAATACACCAACATAGGATTTAAAACCACAGTATTCGACTGGAATAAGTCTCTAATAAGGTATAAAAAAAGACAAAATATTTTAATCAAAGAGGAGGAGCTAATAACAAAGTGACAAGAATTTTTTTTAAGAGATATGTAAGAGTTCATGAGAAAATAACAGTAGGTAAGACCCAGAGATTGAAATCGATTAAACAGGAGTGAGAGGGAGGTTGAGAGAAAGAGAGAGAGGGAGAGAGAGAATCACTGGGCTCAGTGAGCAGACGAGGATCAGCAGCGTCAGAATGAGCCTGGGAGAGATAGAAAGCGGTAGAGAGTCAGAGGGGAGGAGAAGAGATCGTTGTCGAGGACTAAAAGGACTACCAGCATGCGGACCAAAGTGGATCATAAGAAAAGGTAAGTGACTTTGAAAGCAAAAGCAAAGGCAGCTGTTAGAAAATATCACTAAGTGTATCGGGTGGAGTATACAGAAGAGTGATGGACTATAAAAGCTTACAAGGTACTTTTATTTCCAGGTCTATATCGACCCTCTCAGGAGTGTTCCCGGGCTGACAGCCTAAAGCTATTACTTTCTGTTTCAAAGCACTTCATTTAAGATTAAAGATTCTGAATGAATATTTGAATAGAGACATCTGGGATTGTTTGGAAGCAGTTGAAAAAATATGCAAAACCCCTGCACTGTTCAACTAAATATCAGAAAAATACAATCTCAGCTGCTTTTATTTGTTCTTAATCTATGATTTATGAAATAAACTATGTCTACTCCCAAAACCTGCATGAGTATAAACACTGCATTTTGCATTTTTATTAAGAAGGTTGTAAAATATAATCAACACGGATCTATGTTCCAGCAGGTATGACATCCAATCCATCTGAACAACAAGGTTTGATGCATAGGAATGAACTGGAGTGTGTGCGTAAAGCATGTTCTGCTCAGTCAATGCTCATATTAATTTTTATATTTAGTGCTTTTATTATTTTATATTTAGTTTTTAATAAGAATTCTACATCTTTATGTTAGTGACTGTATGTGTTAATTGAATGTTATTAAAAGCATTTGAACCGGTCGCCAGGGCAACAGGAATAGCTTTAAAATCATGTTTATACTAATGTGTCCTATTACAGGGGAGACTTTGACTGAGGGAACAAATTCTCAGTTAATGCATTCACATTAAAGCTGTGTGCCTGCTTTCATAAGCCCCATTAATATATGTAATTGAATCAGAATTTTCGAGTTTGGGTTAAAGTATCTACCTTTATTTTTTAGGTCAGCACATGGTAAATGTCCCCTTAAATTAGAGTATAGTGTGATTGCACAAGGAGATGCACTGCAGAGTGTCTGACTATATATGCCCCTTAAACTGATGTAATGTTTTGACTCAGTTAGGACATGTACTGTATTATAAAAAGCTGTGAATACATATGTATGAGGTAAAATCTCTCACCACAAGATTTTCTAAACTTGTTTAAACAGCAGAGTGTGGAACTTAAAAGTGACAGATTCCTGCTCTTTCAATTGTCATTTACTGACTAAGTGCATGATGTTCAAATTCAGTCTTTGCATATAATCTGTTTATCTTTGCAGAATTTTTTATAGAGCAGGCTTCTGCAAAATCCTTAGGAGCAGCATTTTGCTTTGCACTCATGAGCCGTTAAAGTTGCGTTGCTTTGTATCAAATCTTTTTCGTATCTTTCCCCTAAAGATATTTTTGTTGATTGCTGCAAAATGCTCACTACTAAATTCTCTTTCATGCAGCACCAGCTTTCACTTTTTGAGATGTTTTTTTCTTTTGGCAAAAACAATGTTGGATTCAAGAGTACAGTCTAGCTCCTCTATGTAAAAAGGGCTGATGTTTGTACATTGATCAATGCAAAGTTTAATTAGCAACCAGTACATCTATGCCACCATATAAAAGTTTGAGCTCCTTTGCTGTCCATTTCTGCCAAACATAAACAGACAGTATAAGTCAGTTATTAAACCCTAACGGAATGTTAAAAGAGTAGTTTTGTATTTTATCAGGTGTTGTAATTGGTTTTTTTATGCCTTGCAGAAGCAGAAAAATCTAGTTCTTTTCAGGTGTCACCTGCTAATTTTGGCTTTGACAAAATATTCTGTGCTACAAAAGTGAACAAAAAAAGGGGTTATGTTAATTAATTGTGGTAATATAAGGAAAAAAATAAGATATTACAATATCCCCAACATTTATCAAACAATGCATATCTGCTCACCTATATCAGGGGGTTTTGGTAAACGTAAAAAAAATTTGGATCATGATTTGTTGATAAAAACGTTCAGACAGTAAAAATGGTGGGACTACTTTAGCTTTTATTCATCTAGCTTACTGACTTTAAAAGATTTTTTTTTTTCTGAATCCGTCCTGCTGATCAGTAAATAGAGTTGTTAAAAATCTAATAAGAAAATAGATGAGTCTGATCTGATAGATATTTTCCAATTTTGGTACTTCTTAAGAATTATTAAGATCTAAAAGTAGAAGGAATTGGTGATCATAAAAGATAAAACTTTTACCTATAAAAAACATCTATCTTCCTATGTTAATGAATCACTTCATAAGCTAAAATGTTTAAATGTTTTACTTTAACAGTGGGTTACATGTCTTAGATATGTTGTTTCTGAGCTTGTTCAAGTTAAGTGATGTATTTTTGTATTCACTAATGAATAACTCACAGATCCTACCTGTTAATAAAAACCATGCCTAACACAATAAGACTCAAATAAAGGCTAAATTAAAATTTGAAAGGTGTTTAATGTGATTCACAGCGAACACATTTTATCAATAGGTGACAACAATAAACCCACATTTGCTTTCGTTCCATAGCTTTTCACCAGACAGTGACGGATGATATGGAGAAAGAGCAAATGGAGGTTAAAGAAGGACTGACAGGCACACAAGGGGGAGAAAAAAAAAACTGTGCCTGTGTTTGAGAGAGAGAGTGTCGCTAGCAATTTAGCAGCTCCGTTAGCCGGACAGACTTTGATAAAGTGATGAGACATAGATGAAATGCAATGAAAGATAGAGGGACAGGGAAGTCAGAGGGAAAGAATTATAGTAGCTGTTCTGACCAACACAGCATTATGAGGGAATATAATAAACTAAGGGTTACTGACTGTTTTAAATAGTCCAACTAACCACATGATATTTAAATCCAGAATCTGATAATTATCTGTTAGTCTGTGCAATATTTCCCAGGTGGCAGGTTTCTTCAAAAGCCATTAGAGCAGTATTTTACCTACACTCACAGTTGAAAAAGTTGTGAAAGTATAAAGATGAGAGGACTGAAGAGCACTTAAAAATGTTGATTAGGAGAAAATTAGGAGATGAGTTGAAACTAAAGCTGAAAGAACATGCGAGAGTAAGAATCCTATTACATCTTGTTAGCCACTTATAAAGGAGTCATTTGCTTTTGCACCTGAATTACTGCAGGTGCCTTAAGTCTGGAGCTTTGTTTTCATGTCTTAGCACAACAAAGCCACTTCTTCTTCATATCAAGTGTTTCTCTTATTATTGGATGTTTGGATGAGAGTAGCTCATAAATATTCAGCATTTCCATTTGCTTCCCTGCTCAGTTGCTCAACCAAGACATCACATAAATTCCTCCAGCCAACAACAATACAAATGAATCAGACCAGTAGATGGATTAGCCAATATTGTTTCTTTTTCTAAATGTTTCCTTGTTTGTTTTAAGGAGTCTGAGGAATTGTCAAAGGAAATAGCCCACTGCTTCTCAAACTGTCCTACTTATAATTCCATATTATAAATGATAATGAGTTTGTACTGTATCATTATAAAATTAGCATATGGAAATATAACCCTTTGACCTGTGATACAGTTTCATAATTTAAGACTCAGGATGAGTTTTTATTATGTGTAATCACGAACCTTATTGGAATTTTCTTTTTCAAATAATTTCTTACATTGATAAGGTTATTAGTGGGGAAAACAAGAAGTAATCCCTGCCAAAATCGATTTCCACATTATATGGAGTCTAAATATATTGCAGATGGAACAAGTTCTTTAGAAGGACTTCCAGCTGGAATGTGTTTTTCCTAATCTGAGGATTTCTAAAAAGGCCAAAATCTAATTTTCTCTGCTCCATAGGCTGCTGTTTACTTTATTTTCAGCTTTTCCTCACAAAACCCATGCACAGAAAGGAGTTTGATCACATGCATCATGTTATTGTGAAAATCCCCACACAAGGCACGGGGGGGAGGGGTTATGTGCACTTACTAAGTTACATGTAAAATAAATGAAATTAGAGGACCTGTATCTATGAAATACTTAAGTGCTTTGGTTGCATGTTGAGCAGTTTCAATGGACAATAAGGATCTTCAAAACACTTGCATCTTTTACTATCTGAGCGTCATAGAGACATTAAGCTCTTGCATTATGAACAGTAACCTTTTAAAGGCATCTGGCTCCACACTTAAAATGCTGATTAAATTGCATTGCTCCCACATAATACAGATGGACAAAATTAAAATGCATTAGGAACCAGCTGCAGAAAAGACTGTGTCAGTTTCTTTTGAATTATCATTACTAGATTTGCACTTCTGGGAGGCAAAAATTTTTGTAACATAACACTTAAAGACAGATGAGATAAGCAGGTGTTTCTAGAAACAAAAGCAAATCCAGAATCCAGGAGACGCATGTTTTTTGCAATCTGAAATGCTGCACGTGAAACCATTGCCCAAGCGGGTATTTATCCCAGGCATCTTTCTAATTATTTTCGTTCACCCTGGCAAAAGTGAATAACTTCTTTTGTTATATGCCTCAGTGCCAGGTTTTAGAGCACAAAGGCATGCTCAAGCTCATGCCACAGAATCTAAATTGGGTGTAAGTCAAGACATTGATTAAGCCATTCTTAAAGATTAATTTGGTTTCCTTTTGCAGTTAAGAGCAGGACTCGTGGTTTGCTTCTGTACTCGTCCTCCTACAAAACACACGTGAGCTTGGGGTCCTTGACTAATGGTTCTACATTTTGCCTCAAGATTTTCTGTAGAATTCATGCTTGCGCCGAATATGGGAAATTATCCAAGTCCTTGGGCAGCAACAACATCAGTTAGACTAACGCCACAATGTGTAACTGTTGGGATGTAAAATGTTTTTTTTTTTTTTTGGAAAGATATAATGAGATGCAAAATTTTCCAAAAAGTACAACTTCAGGCATCTTGTTTTTTTACCAAAATAATTTGGAGATCATCGAAGTTTTGTAAATGAGTATACCTCTGTATTTTTATTTGTTAGCAGGGGTTTCAAACTCTCCCATAAATGCCAGCTTTAGTAAGTATCTTTCATTTTACTAAATCATGAACACCCTAACTTAATTAAGGTAATGAGGCCAAAACACTGGTTTATTTATGTGACCTTCAGGAAGAG